CTTTCGCGCTCCCCAAAATACATCCTCCGAGTCCCCAACACTCCGAAATTGGTTTCCTCTTCCTACAAATAACGAAGTAGAATGTATACGTATCAGAAAAGTAGCCTGTGCCCTGAAGCTTCGGCCAGAAGCTGCTCCCGGAGGATCTAAACCCGAGTCCCGCGGAATCGCGGTCATTCGGTGCCGAAAAAGTGCTTCCGTTTCATCGCTCCGCTTCAGTTTCCACGGCACAGATGCCCCAGCTTCGTTAAGGCGGGAAGGTATACACAGCTCCCCTAATCTGGCTATCAGCGAGCACGGAAAAATTGCCAAGCCACGCTGCAGCCAGGCCCGAGAGCCTCGCCGGGAGCAAATCCCCGACTGGAGCCCGCCGAAAGCTCCCAGAAGTCTCTAAGTGTTTCAATATCGACAGTCCGCCAGTGGCGCGAACGCGGTTAACGCGTTGGCTACCGTGATAATCACTGATAATAGGAGTCCAAATTACTCGGAAATAGTTACGAGAAGAAAACTGATGTGGAATTCAAAAATGTTTGGCAACACGAGTAACCGAGTAATGATGTAACTTAAAATCTGCGATAAGGTAATAATTCGTCTCGTTTCTACTTAATCAGCACTCCAGGTTGTTTTGTAATCTATCAGCAATTGCAACGAATTTTTATAATATTCCTAGCGAAAATTACGAATGCTATAACGTTTCTTCGATCTTTTATTTCCCTTCTTAGAGGAAGATTTGGATGTGTGAGAAATCGAATAATTTTAGGGTAGTTTCTTTGAGATTCATTAAAATATTTCATATTATAATTGGTGCGATATTGGAGTCTACAGAGTTCAAAGGGTTAAACCTTTGCAACTTTGCTGACCACGACAGCGTTTAAAAGAATATTCAATTATATTAGAACTGATTACTTGTTTCATTTTGCACTCCAGAAGTTTCTCACTGGAAATACTTAATATTTTCTAGTGAGATACACGAGTAACTGAATAATGATATAACTTAAGATCTGTGATAAGTCATTAATAATTCATCTCGTTTCTTAAACCTACCTTTGCAACTTTGCCAACCACCAATCAAAAAAATATTCAATTATATTAGAACTGATTACTTGTTTCACTTTGCACTCCAGAAGTTTCTCACTGGAAATACTTAATATTTTCTAGCGAGATACCGTCTATTAAGTTGGTATTTAGTTAGAGAGTTCTGAGTTCTCGAGGAAGTTCGAAGGTAAATTGATCGAACCGGATGTGATTTAAATGTTTGATGGTTAGTTTGACACTTTTCTCTAACTTCTCGTGTACAACGACGGTTTAGAGGTGAAACTAATGTTGATTGAATTCCGTTAAGTGTATAAAATAGGCAGCCTGATGTACCTCTGGTATAGCAGCGTAACGTGATAGCAGGCCAAAGATTGGGCTGGCAAAGTCCCTGTAAGCGACGCACCCTTTTCCCACAGCGAAAAGCAATTTCGGTGGTTTTCACTTACAAAAGGTATCGCTTACACTGGCCACTCGAGGAGCACCCTAAGAAAGTCTATATTTGTTCCGTCTGGGGTTAAGTGTCGACGTGAGAAATCTGTCCACTTTCCCACGTGACGAACGATAAGTCTTGAAAGGGAGAAGGGTTGAAAGCTCGCATTTTTGGGCTTGCCGGCAAACGCTCAGTCCTCGTTACTGCCCCATCATATTTCACACGATATGTTTCTTGTACTTTCTACACTTTCTCAAGATACTCTACACACTTTGCCAAATTAATGAACTTGCTGACAAAATGAATGTAACAATGAATTCGTTAGATATAACGAATTCCGTTGGATCACAATGAAGCAAAGAAACTACGAAAAATCTTGGCCTTTCAGTTTAGACTTCATCGAAACTAGAATTAGACTTCACTGACAATTGTGTTACGTCAAAATAAGCTATTCCAGATTTCTGAATTTCAGAATTATAGAAAAGATAACAGGATTCGAGAAGTTACCAAAGAAATGGATTCAGTACGTGAACATAATTGCAAATTAATTAATCTCAGTAGATGCACTCTAAGAGTTTCTCGAGTTTCTACAAAAGTGGAAACTAGAATTAGACTTCATTGACATTGGAGTTACGTCAAATAAGATATTCCAGATCTCTTCCGTTTCAATTATAGAAAAAATAACAGGATTCGAGAAGTGACCAAAGAAATGGGTTCAGTATGTAAACACAATTGTAAATTAATCTCGGTAGATGCACTCAAAGAGTTTCTACAAACGTGGAAAAGTCAATTGGACTGCTGGTTTCAGTGTTAAGAAAATGGTTTTGATTGTATAGGAGCCTCGGCGAGCGTTTGTTCGGCAGCGAACGCGTCAAACGAACTTCCCTGCTAAATGGGACGAGAAATGACCATTTTTTGATTATTTTTCATTATGCCGGCGTGACTCGCGAACGCACCGAGGGCTGGTGAAGGTGCGCCGTGCTCTTTGAACCATTACGCCTTGACACCACTCGAATAGTTGAGCGGCGGTCTGAGCAGCGCGTTACTCCTTGACCTTTCGCAGCTGAAAAGCGCTAACTCCCGGCCTCGCGGCGGGTAGCTTTGTTCGAGTCGGCTGATTAGAGGCCTTGAGAGATTTAACAACAAGAAGGGGGCACCTCGCTTATCGCCGGCAGACCTGGATGCTTTAAAGTTAACTGCAGCGATAGCGGCAGAACGAATTTCCTACGATGGACACTCCAGCATGATTGCAGCAGATCATCGTGACAGGGAAAGGTTAAGTTTCCAGGAAGAGCTAGGGTTTAGGAAGATGAGGACAATAAAGTCTTCGAGTAAAAATGTCAAATTTGAAATTTACTTTAACTGATGAACGTAGAGGAAGATTTGATTAGAACTGCGATGACAGTGGTTAATTTCAAGGGAGGTTATATGGTTGTAGATCTTCGTTGGTCATCAGGTTAAAAGCAAAGGTTAGGTTTCTAGAAAGATCTAGGATCTACGAAGATGAGGACATTGAAGATGTCCCTAGACAAAAATGTCAAATTTGGAATTTTATTTGACTGATGAATGTAAAGGAAGATGGAAGATTTGGAAGATTTTATTGGAACTGCGATGATACTTAGGTTACTAGAAAGAGCTAGGGTTTAGGGAGATGAGAACAATAAAGTTTGCCCTCGAGTAAAAATGTCAAATTTGGAATTTTCTTTAGCTGATGAATGTAGAGGAAGATGGAGGATTTGGAAAATTTGATTAAAACTGCGATGACCCTTAGGTTTCCAGAAAGAGCTAGGGTCTAGGAAGATGAGGACAATAAAGTCTTCGAGTAAAAATGTCAAATTTGAAATTTGAAATTTTCTTTAACTGATGAATGTAGAGGAAGATTTGATAAGAACTGCGATGACAGTGGTTAATTTGAAGGGAGGTTATATGGTTGTAGATCTTTGTTGGCCATCAGGTTAAAAGCAAAGGTCAGGTGTCTAGAATGATCTAGGATCTACGAAGATGAGGACATTAAAGCTTGTCCCTGGATAAAAATATCGAATTCGGAGTGATCTTTAATCCAAGAATATAGGGGACTTGGAAGCTACCAGGAACAATGGCAGTGGTTTGATTAATGAGAAGGAAAGATTAGATGTTAGAAGGGCTTAAGATTTAGAGGGGTTCTAGGTTGAACGGGAATTCGAGGAATATACTGTACCTCGATCAGGAAGAATGAAAGATGGGACTACCGGTAAAAGCTGAACGAATCAGATAAATTGCTTCGTGTCCTTTTAATCAGTTCGTTCGGTTAGAGTACCGTGAAGTTCACTCGACTCTTCTTGCTGCTAGGAAGCTTTTCCTCGAGCATTCTTCAGGTAAATGGATTGTGAGGGTCCATCGAAGTGATTCGTCGATGGAGAAGAGGAGGTAGCCAGCGGCGGATCAACGAAAATTTTACCCCTGCGGCATCTGTTTATGTTCGGACATCGGGTAGACTAACGAAAATTACGATGGCCAGCATAATCTCTCAAAACTAGACATCAGACACTGTAAGGCTCTCTAGATTCAAGGACCAGCAGGGATACAACCAATCAGTACACAGTGCCCAAAGAAAAATCAACTAATAGACAAATCCAAAGTATCTAGAACCTTCATCAACACCCCACATCAGCACAATCCCTTAAAACTAGCCACCAGTCGCTACAAGATTCTTATTCTGAGGACCACCAAGGACACAACCAATCAGTACATAGTGTCCACAGAAAAGTCAACCAGCAGGAAAATACAAAGTACCTAGTACCTTTACCAGCATCCTAATATTCTTAATATTTCCATATCGCCAGCACAATCCCCTAAAACCAGCCATCACGCTGCGAGACGCCCAAATTTTAAGGACCACCAAGGACACAACTAATACACAGTGCCCAGTTGAAAACTCCAATGTACCTAGAACCTCCATCAACATCCCAATCTTCCCAACACTCCATATGATTAGCACAATCCCCTAAAACCAGCAACCAGTCGCTGCAAGGTTCTCAAATTCTGAGGGCCACCAAGGACACAACCAATCAGTACATAGGGTCCACAGGAAAATTCAAAGTACCTAGGATCTTCATCAGTATCCTAATATTCCTAATATCTTCATAGCACCAGCGCAATCCCCTAAAACCAGCAACCAGTCGTTACAAGGTTGTCAAATTCTGAGGACCATAAAGGACACAACCAATCAGTACATAGTGTCAACAAAAAAGTCCACACAAAAATCCAAAGTACCTAGTACCTTCATCAGCATCCTAATATTCCCAACATCCCACATCACCAGCACAATCCCCTAAAACCAGGCATCAGACCTGCATGGCTCCGAATCCATACATCCTCCAAGAACGCAACGCGCCAGCAACGTGACACAGTGACCAAGGAAAAATCATCGAACCCTGGAGTTTCGACGAACGAGGGAAGCAGGATGATCCCGGAAACCGCGGCTTCCAAATGGAACCGCAGCGAATGGGGCCCGGGGGACAGGGGTGCGTAGGCATTCGTCGAATCCGACAATTACCGATTCGAGGCCGGCGTCGAGGCCGGCGGCGATGCCGCCGTTGGGAAGTTCCTGGATGCCAGCGGTGGTGCCGGCGGTGGTTGTCGTCGTGGTGGTGGTCGTAGTGGTGCCCTGTGAGCCCTGCTGCAGCTGCAGAGTGGTCTCCCTGGACGCGGCGCCGGAGTATTGGGCGGCGGTCGACGTCGCCGCGCCGTTGTGCGGCCTGGTCGCGTCCAGCAGCACCTTCAGCGAGGCTATCGCGTGCAGTTGCGTCGCTTTCTCGTCCACTTTGCCTGAACAGCAGCAGAGTTACCAGGTTAATGAGACTGGGTCAACGGCGGAGGTTACGGGTCGCTTTACCTTCTATGCTAACCGGTCTACGGCACTGATCGGCTGTGATAAGTCGTGGGCATTGCTCGCGAGTTGTTCGAAGATTGTCGAGAGAGTGACAGCGATGCGATTGTTTGTTTGCGGTTATGGGTGTGGGGATGGTTGGTTGTGGAATGTGGTAATGATTGGTAATTGGTAATTGGGGGGATATGGTGGTGGCAGTTGGTAGAATGTGGTAATGGTAATTGGTGGAATGTAGTGATGACAATTAGTGGAATATAGTGATAGTAGTTGGTGGAATATGGTAATTGGTGGGATATAGTAATGGTAATTGGTGGAATGTGGTGATGATAATTAGTAGAATATAGTGACACTAGTTGGCAGAATATGGTAATTCGTAGAATATAGTAACGATAATTAATAAAAAGTAGAGATACTAATAGACTAACTAATACTAGTAGCAAGTACAGAAAAAATTTCTCTGTATTCCTACCTTTTGCCACGAGTAACCTTACTTTACCTAAACCTTAAAAAATAATTTCAAACAATTCTACCTTTCCTTCTAATAATGATAACATACTACCTATTGTCTCGTGACATCTTTCTTCATCAAAATTTGCAATGCTACATTTCTAAAGTCAAAGTTCTCTTTCCAAAGCAAGCGTAATAACAACAAATTCGAAACGTCCAATACGTTAAAATATTTCTTAAATGGAGCAATGGATGTTCCTAGAACTGTGTAGCATCAGCGCAAAAGCTGCAGCATCGAGTTTACACCTCCGCGAAGACAAAAATCGCGACTAGTCGTCCGATCGATCGTAGCCGATATAGATCGCGATCCACAGAAGGGCAGCCGTATTTTTACGTGCTCGTATTAATAACCACCCTCGGAATAGATCGAATCACCTACTTGTCTCCGGCGCGAGAGGGACGGCAAGAACTATTGTCACAGAAACGATATTTTTATGCTCTTTCATCGGCTCCTCGCGTCTATTCTCGTTCGCGGGAGCCAGAACAATGGCTATCCCCCCGAGTTCGAGGGAAACGGCGCGGCGGAATACCTCGGGCAAAGTTCGAGAGGCTAACAATCAACGCCCACGACTGTCCAAGTTAAATACGTGACTACGCTAATATCTCTAATAAGTGACAAAACTTGGCGAGAAGCAGAATAGCATTCCGAATCGTTGGGAGCGCGGTAAAGCGAGGACGTTCGCCGATCGCGCGGCGAGTCCTGACGCGAACGAACGACCCTTCGTCGCCGTTGCGACTCCCTGCGCCGTCGAATCGCTGCGTTTTCATGCTTGCAACGTTGCACCGACACTTTGTTGTATTCTATAGAAACGGAAACTAACTTCTAAGGACTGTATTTACTTAGACAATCCTTCAACTCGAGCGAGGTTAACATTTGTATTTTTATTTGAATATTTATTCACTGTTTCATGAAATCAAGGTTCAATTTTAACACTAGAACTGGAGCATTTAATAAATAATGAAGATTTGTTCACTATTTCATGAAATCAAAGGTTTCATTCTATCATTAGAACTACCAAGCATTGGATACTACTCTTAACCCTTAACACTCCAGATCGTTTTGTAATCAGCAACTGCAACTAATTTTTATAGTATCTTTTATTGTCCTTAGTACAAAATTTGGATGTGTGAGAAATCTAATAATTATAGGGTGGTTTAAAGATTCATTAAAATATCTAATATCATTCCTGGTGCAATATTGGAGCCTACAGAGTTCAAAGGGTTAACATATAATCCCTATAGAACTTGTAAACTATTCTATATCTTCTGACATTCCTTATAGTATAGTGAAACTTTCTTATCAACCTCATTCCGAATATCCAATGCTTCTAGTTCACAATCATTGAAATCACTAGTTCTAAGTCATGACCGCGAAACAAGAATCGAAACCAATTCCCGGTAGTTCTACTGACTTTAACACTAGGTTTACGGAACGCGTCAATATTTGGTAAATGTTCCAATCGGTTTTCGTTGATAAAATTACACGAATACGAATCCCGATTATCTATTTCTACCTCTACAATTTCCAAAATCTAAATCAACGAACATCAACTTCTAAAACAATAGAATAAACTGTAGAATAAATGCCCGCAATGTTAATTCCATTGCAGCAGCAACTTCGCAGCAGAGAATCTTCCAGCATCCTACCTCGTTAAACCTTAAAGTCTGCTCCACAAGCGTGCTCCATCAATATTTATCTCACGTGACAGTTCCAAAAAATTCAACGCACCTGCTCGCTGTCGGACTGTCACGTGTACTGATCAAAATGTCGGCGCGAGAGAAAAGCAACAGCGAGGAACGAGGGAAAGCGCGAGCGGCGCTGAAAAATCGTTCGCCAGCATGCGAAGCGTGCAGCCAGGCGACGGAACTTCCGGCAACGAGCTGCGGAACAAGCGCGAGACCGTTGGATGCATCGTTCCATTTAAGCGTGCACTTAAAGATCCGGCTGAAGCTGGAACTACGAAATAATTATGAGCGAGGGTCATTCAAAAGGCTTTCCGCCCCGCGCCCGCTCGCCCATCGTCGCGTTCCACTTCGCGCGATTGCCCCGAACAGCCCCGCCGTTACGTAACGGCTGCCATTTTCCGGTCTATTTTGCGAGCCCGTCGATCCGACCGGCTGCAGACGACGCGAGGATACCCCCCTGCGTTCGAGAACTGCCCGTTAACCCTTCCCAAACTATTGGGACACGGAGAATCGGTTGACTCGATGTCTGTCGGCGCGACTACAGGGTTGAGAGCGTATCTTTATGGTTTGCGGAGTTATTGTTTCGATTGGAGACGTGTAACCGTATCGATGAAGTAAATCGGTGAATGGAAAGTAATTGGTGATAGGAATTAGGAAAGTTCGGCGGGAAACAATGGAAGCTGATGAATCGAAATTATCAACTTTCTTAGGATTAGAATTTCTTAGGATACTCATGTGGTTAGTAGATCCATTTAAACAGACTGCTACATCACTCGAGTACCCTAAGAAATTCATCTGATTTATCAACTTTCTTAAGATTAGAATTTCTTAGGATTAGAATTTCTTAGGACTAGAATTTCTTAGGATTAGAATTTCTTAGGATTAGAATTTCTTAGGATACTCAAGTGATTAGTAGATCCATTTAAACGGACTGCTACATCACTTGAGTATCCTAAGAAATTCTAATCCTAAGAAATTCTAATCCTCAGAAATTCCAATCCTCAGAAATTCTAATCCTAAGAAATTCTAATCCTAAGAAATTCTAATCCTAAGAAATTCTAATCTTAAGAAAGTTGATAAATCAGATGAATTTCTTAGGGTACTCGAGTAATGTAGCAGTCTGTTTGAATGGATCTACTAATCACTTGAGTATTCCAAGAAATTCAGCTGATTTATTAGATTTCTTAGGATTAGAATTTCTTAGGATTAGAATTTCTTAGAATTAGAATTTCTTAGGATACTCAAGTGATGTAGCAGTCTGTTTAAACGGATCTACTAACCACTTGAGTATCTTAAAAAATTCTAATCCCAGGAAAGCTGATAAATCAGACGAATTTCTGAAATAACCGTCTAAACACATATCAGTAATAGTCTTCTTTCCTATTATTCAACATTTACCTAATTCAACTTGCCACAGAAAAGACTTTCAATGCGTCTAAGAATCCTCCGAGGCAAAGGGCTAACGATTCTAAAGGATATTACTCCTCTAACAACAGTAATTACTTTGAAACGATTCTTTCCCTTCCTTTCAATCTTATCCCCAGCAAAAATGTCTTGTTCCTTTTCAGATCCACTAACTGTTCTCGAGAAATAAACTATTTCCTCTTCCGGAGCCTTGTAATTAGCCCTTCCATTAGGTCGTTGTCATCTATTAATCGCTGCGCGCGACTGTAAAGGCGTACAGCGTCTCGACGCTGCGTCGCGCACCAGGAACACGTCTCCGAGTCCTGTAGCACAGCTTAGCATCTGCTAGGGACACGGTCTTAGCAGTGACGCGAGTCATTGAGGAGCAATGTCCACTTATCCAACATCAATGGCTGGATTGCCGTCTCCGGACGCGTTCCCGACACCTCTCGCGTCCGATCTAGCGGCCTCGTGGACCAAGTAGCTTCGTCTATAGACTCTAGAGCCACCGTGGTGAATGACGATGGGATTCCATTCAGTAAACGACGTAGAATTTCGTTTATTACGTGGTAGAACTGTTCCATTCGTCAGAGTGTCGTTAGGACTCGATGATTTAGTCGATTGCGTTACCTGGACGTTAACCCTTAGCAGTGAATGATGATGGGATTCCATTCAGTAAACGGTGTAGAATTTCATTTATTAAGCGGTAGAACTGTTCTATTCGTCAGAGATTAACGTTGAGACTCGATGATTTAGATGATTGCGTTATCTGGATATTAAAAGTTCATTCATCTTGATCGTCCTACTATTTGTGTCGTCAATTCCAAATAAGCAATGTAAAATGAATATTGATGTTTTAGTTTGATTCATTTAATACCGATATTATTATCTAAGAGCTTGACGTTAGGATTCGATGATTTAAATGATTGCGTTATCTGGATATTAAAAGTTCATTCATCTTGATCGTCCTACTATTTCTGTCGTCAATTCCAAATAAGCAATGTAAAATGAATATTGATGTTTTAGTTTGATTCATTTAATACCGATATTATTGTCTAATTGGATTACCGTTTGATATGCATCGATTGATACCGATTGATATTCGATATCCATCGACAAGATGTTCCCTTGAGAAATTATTGAATGGGCCGAATTTTGTTTCACGATTATAACAAAATTTATACAGTATGAAATAAATAAATGTCAACATACTAACACAAATTAACAATGTATCCAATAGTTTTAATAATTCTATTGAAACGAATATATTTTGCAACTTTCAAGTTACAATGACGTTGAACGTAAACGCCTGTGTACAAAAGCTTCAGTCGATTAATTGTTT